AACAGCTCTTAACGATAACGATTAAGTAACAAGAGTATCAACTACCTAAATCCATATATGAAGACCAAGTTTTTTCTCTCCGTGTCCCCAGAGGCTCAGCTGTCATCACTTTCGCTGTCGCCCGATGGAAAATCTGGCCAATTACCCGAGGGGCGGTTAAAGGGGAAAGGGGCATTTTCGGACCTTAGATGGTCAGCTTTAATTAGCAGCCGGCGGCAATCGAATCGCTGCGAATCGAATCGAAACGAATCGGATCGCAATGGATCGATCGCTTGCGCAGTTATTTCATCAATGACATTTAAGGCTTCATTAAAAGTCCTGCAAACGGGCGTGACCTTATTTGGGGCGGTGCGACAGAGAGGGCGATACAGAAATCGAAGGGATATAAATGGTGGATCTCTAAGGCCGCCGCATAAATTTCATTTGATTGGAAAACTCCACTAACGAGCTCAGCGATGGTCACGTGATACAATTTATTTCCTTACAAATTTGTTATTTATAAATTAGGGAAATACAAAAGAAATAAAGGGGAAGGGGAAAATATTTACCATCTGCCATGGTGTCGTACATATTTGCCCTCTGCTCCAGTTTCTCTATCTTATCACAGGTGCTTATTTATGTTTACCATTATCTTGACGGGAATCAGGACAAATTGTGATTCAGCCGCGTGCGTAATTTTCCGCAAATTTCATCAGCCCCAAATAGAACATTCCATTCATGAAATGCTAATAAAGCTAATAGGAAATTTTTTTCTCATTAGTTTTGACTGATTCATCAATAGTGTAGAAAGCGGAAAGAACATCATCGTATTTGGTCATCTGTATAATATTTTCTTTTCATTCTTCTTTTATCTTTGTGTTTAAATATACAACTCTTATTCTTGGCTTATCAACATTTTATTCTTAGCATATCGGTTTTTATTTATAAATAACTCTTTCTTGCCTTGAGCTAATTTATTTATATGTTTGATTTGAGCTTAATATCAAAACATTTATTAAGATAAAAGTTACTTTAATGGTAAATACATTGAAAACCCCATAGAAACCTTGAATAGTATTAAGATCGTGTCACGTAATACGTACCATCTCCAAGGAGCAAATTCAGCTAAGCATCTTCTGCAGATCTCTGCCCCTTCCCAAAGCCCCCTCTCGGAATCTCCTTGGCCACCGCCTGTGGCAGCACCATTAAAAATGCAAGTTGCTCGGCCAGTTGGCTCCGATGGGCTGTTTGGCCAAGGAGCTTGGCCACGTTTCGTTAGCCCGTTTCGCTTTTACTTAACATTTGAAGCCTTTGCGCCGCTAATTGGCTGAAAATACCAAAAATGGCAATGCATGACGACTCGGCACTCGGCGACTGGCAAAAGGAGCAAAGGGGATTACGTGGTGGGAATGGGGTAAAGGTATGTTATGTCCATACGAAACGCTGTTCGGGATGGTCTTTTGGTCTTTGCTGGACTCCAGTTGGTCGATAGTTGGGTCCTACAAGTCGATGTTCCTGGTTAAAAAAATGAAAAAGAAATTCTTTAAAATGTATCATTAATCCATTACAAAGCGCGTTTTTTCATAATTTTATGTTCTACAAAATTTTAATTATTCAGAAAATACAAAACTCTGATAAAATATATACAAAAGTGAAACTAAACCCCAATGTAAAAATAAAATAAAAGAAATGAAATCCAAAGAAATTCATAAGAACTGATAAAGTACTTTTTAAGTATTTTTCCCCTTTTCTTAAATAAAAAATAAAACAATTTCCATATCAATACTGCCCTTTGTAAAATGGTGAATCAAAATTTAGGGTAGATAATATTTTCAGTCATTACTCATGTCCACGATTAGCATGAATGATAAGGGCAATAGCCATCCCCAGGGATTTGATTTTTCAGTCCAGAGCTTTTCCCTAAAGGGTTTTTATCCGCTGCTAATTGACAGTTCCCCTCTTTCTAGGTGGGCGTTACGCTTTATGTCCTATAAATAAATAATATTTATTCGTTTTTTATCGATTGCTGCGTGGGCAGCAGCTGCAGAGGCAAAAAGCCAAAGCGTGGGTGCCAAGCTTCCAAGCTTCGAGGAAAATAAAGAAAAACTCGAAGCTGGCAAATCGCAGGGCGTGCATCTGCTGCATGCAACTTTTCGATCTGCAATGTATACAATCAGTGTTGCCACAAATAGTGTCTCCGTCTTTGTACTTTTTTTTATTGGCATTTTGTACTTTAACCACTTTGCTGGCCTTATCTTATCCAGGCTAAGATATTGAGCACTTCAAAGGGCATTTATCTTCAGACATGGCCACATTTCATGCTATAAAGAAGGGTTCTTAAAAGAAAATATTTTGCGATATGATAAGAAAACAGTTACTATTACTTTTTCTTTTAGTTTATGTTTTTAAAGAGATTTTTATAGGAAATATTGATGTTTTTAGTGTAAAAGTTAGCCTTTAGGTAAGCTAAAAAAGCGCCAACTATTCAGCACTTCAAGAAGCTTGGCTTTCATTCTTCTTTGGCTGCTGCTGAAGCTTGTCGTTGTCAATAAAAAGGCGACGGCAAACAATTTAGATTTGAATTTAAATTAGCCGCTGCTGCGTCGTCTGCCAGCAAACACCAGAAAAGAACCGTATAAAAAAGGGGTTAAAATTAGCATTTCTCCTTTAGCAACTCTCTTTCCAAACTACTTATTTCTATTTACTATTTCTACAGAAATATTAATTGATCGTTTTCTCTCTCGTTTTCAGGTATGTACCGCTTAACCCATTAGCTGCAGCTGTGATTAATTAAGGCACAAACTGTTGGTATATCTCATTGTGAGTTCAATAACAATGCATTCAATGAAAAACAAAAAGAAAACTTAAATACCGGACCCCACTGACAGTTCGCATTTAAATGTCAATCAGAGGGCCACACAAAAATACGCACAAAGGAAAACAGTGACAGGGACATGAACATATATCTAGATATATATATTTATATACTGACATATAGTTGAGGAGTGCGGGTGGTGGTGATATTTAGTGGTGGTTTTCATTAAGTCAGCCGCTTAATGTGATTTTGACAAATAAATTCATCAACACTTCCGCTGACAACTGGCAGATGAGGCAGCCACACAACAGCAACTACTGCCACAGAAATTGCAACTGCAACTGCAATAGAAATTGCAACTGCAGCAGCAACATCATTCACAATATCACTAGAAGAAAATTTCTAGAATTTCTGATCTCTTTTTGGTTTCACAAAATCAAGATTTTTGAAAATTAATTAGCTAGCAGATTCCCTGAAACTTTCATTTAAATCCGACTAATTTGTAGATACATAAAGTTACTTAGCTTAGTTAGTGATTTTATCTTACCAAATATACAGTTAAAAAGTATTTCTCTCAGTGTATAACTTCTGCAAAATGTTAACAACGGCAGCAACAGCCAAACGCATTTGAAATTCAAATTTGAGCACATTTAACGAGCATTCGCTTGGACAGGATAGCAGTTGTAGTTGCGTTTGAGTGGTTTCACTGTGCCAATGGGTATGGGATTCTCTAAGGTGGTGGGGTGGTTGAGAGCGGGTGGTGCAGTGGGTTAGCACAGCCACTGTGTGTGTGTGTCGTTGTTGTTGTTGGCCTGCCATGTCGACGCTCATCAGGCTGACAGCTCTGGCAGAGCGATAAATTTGCCAGGCACCCACCGCTGCAGCACTGCACCATCACTGCAGCTATGCCTTCGCCACCATGATAAAAGCAAAGAAAAAGCAAAACAAAAGCAAAGAAAAAGCAAAAGCAAAAGCACTCGAATTCAGTGGAAGTTCGGCGGCTTAAGAATTCGCAAAGTTAATTGAGCATGCAAACAGATCAGATTCCAAGCCAGGAACACACAGAGAGAATTAACTCAAACTTCTAAGATATTTTAGTTAGAAACATTTTTGGATACTTTTTGAATGTTCTATGATCTTATAGGTTGATAAAATTAACCATATTGATGGGAATTTTAGAAAGTATGCTTCTTAAAATAGGAAAACCTTTTGTTTTTCTGGAAAATGTCAAGGTATAAGTATTAAAAATACTTTTTCTAACCTTTCTGTACTCAATATGTTTCCTAAATTGATTAAAAAAATAATAAAATCTTTAAAGAATTTCATATTTCTTTCACTGTTAAGTATTAACTGAGTGGCTGTGAACCCTTCAAGTTCTTAATGCAGTTTCTGCGCCCCCAATTCGCAGAGTCAACGGAAAAATATCAACGAAAACGTGACAAAGTGTTAAAGAAAGAAAGGGGTGTATACGAAATTTTAGAAGAGCAAATGAGATGGCAGGATCCTGCATATAGGGCGTGCTAAACTAACGGAAGATATTTGAATATCTGAGGGCGAGTGCGAATGCCTTTTTTTTTGCGAGTATTCCAGTTTTGTTTTGTTTTTTTCTTTCTTTTTTTTCAATATCCGTGCAGCCATGTGGGCGATTCTCAGATTAGCTTGACGATCGCGCACAGTCAACCATAAAAGTCAGCGGACCTAATGAACTTGCAAATGTTTATGGGGACTGTTGGTATTTCCATTGATTTCCAAAGCTGGCGAATTTCTAAGATTTTCCTTTGATTCCATACTCAAAGCTTATCGCAGTTCAAATGCAAAACCCACTCGTACATTTATTTTTTATGGCTAAGTTTGTAATAAAAAATTCTGAAAGCTAAGATAAGCCATGAATGACACTTTTTTGTTTAAGGCTTAGCTAAGATTTTAAAAGTTTTTCAGTAAAATTTCGTTAAAAAATTACAAGTATTATTACAAAATCTTTCACTTTTTCAAAATCAAAACGCTTGTTTGGTAGTTTTCCTAAAACGAAGGGCAGGTTTTAAAGACAGGCAATACTCGAGGCTGTTGTGATGCCACAACAAGCCAAAACCAAAACGAATCGAATTCAAAATTGATTGCCTCCTCCGGATGCGATGAATAATTTCCAATGATCGCAGCAACAATAAACGAAGGGCCCTCGAAAAAAACAAAAATAAACAGCAACTTCGAAGGCCTAGTACAATAAGTACACTTGAGCATTCCATCCAGAAAATGAGGCGATACGGATTAGAGTTCAATCGCGATGAACATAACAATTATGATTACTCTCTGGATTTAGTGGAATTGTTCGTTTTTTTTTCCGCCTTTCACCCACTGATAGTGGCTATCGGGAAATAAAACTAACAAAAAAAAAATTATTGCCTTATGGTTCTTTGTCCACCAAAAAAAATTTGACCCAATTACAATGTACATATGCACGAGGGGCATACTATGTATTTAGGGAGGGGGCCAAGTCAGGGAGTATCTGAGATGCTATATATACTGTATCTATTCGACAGATGTTGCCCTACTCCATTTTCGTTTGACCAGATTGCAAGTGCACATAAACAAATAAGTTTAGATATGAATAAGTTTAGAATATGAATTTATGCTGTGAAGTTATGTACAAATGCTAATTTACAAAAAGGAGGTTATGCATTACTGATTACTGATCGGGATTAAGTCTTGTTGAAGTTTCTTTTCTATATTTTTGATTAGTTTTTTAGTTCTAACTTTGTCAACGTAAGACACACTTTTTTAGGTTTAAATGCAGATCTTTAGAAAATTACAAAACAAATTCAACGAGGTCTGACATGATATATTCTGGCTATTATTGGCTTGGCTATGAGAAAAGTACTCTCACTTTAGAGGAAAATAAGGAGAAACCAAATTTCGCATTTTTGTAAGAAGTACCATCATCAATTTTTGCAAAAAAGGGCAAAAATTAATGAAAACAGTTTTAATGGATTTTGAATTACAAACTCAGCAAGATATAGCATTCCATATTTGGAGCAATAATTCTTTGTTATGATATTAACAAAATTCGGATTATTTTTCGAGAAAAATGAGAATCAGAAATTTTCTCAATAATTCGATTTTTCCTCATTGTTTTTTCTAGTTCTTTTAACTACATAAAAATCAACTACAATTTACTGAATAAACTAACTTAATGAATACCATATTATACAGATACCATTCGATAACAGAAACCACATTCAAATGAGGTCGTTTCGGTGCGGTGGCAGATTATCAAGAAATAATATCTAAATAGCAGATATCTGCCAATGGTTCGTATTTGTTTGAGGTTGAGTTTTTTGTTTGAACAGCTGCCAAACTCACACAGGAACAAAACCTTTCTCCTTCTAATTATGCCTCTCTCTGTTCGTCTTATTAGGGTTTTTTTTTTGGCATTTACGATAAGAGAAATCAAAAAATATGTTGATAAACGCATTTGTCGTAGATTTACATATATATTTAGTATCTAAAAAATATATTTTTATGCATTTGCATTAACATAAAATATATTTTAGGACTATCCTATCTTAACTTAAATTGAAAGCTGTGGGAATTTTTAAAATGCTTAACAAACATATCAAATTTTATGAAAACAAACAATAAGCGATATTTAAAACCAAATTTTTATGTTTAGTTTGCAAGTTTGCCTTTCATATTTTCTTCACGTGTTTCTATGGTTTTATAAGCTCGAATTTATTTTCTTATGAAAACACCTCAGCTTGCCTGGAAAACCCTTAAATTCTCTGTGAAAATATTCTAAATAAAAAATAAATTTAAAGCATAGTTTACCTGGAAAAGTCCATCAGCCTTAGAAAGTAGTATTCCCAATCCAAACATGACCGATGAAAGTTCGCAGAGCGGAAGCGGCAGCGAAAGTGAGTGGGAGGAGATTGTGGGTGCGGATGTGGAGCAGGCCAGGATCAGGGATCCCGTGGAGGAACTGAGAAGCAGCCTGTGCCTAAGTATTCTGGGCTTTCCACATGGCACCGATGATCAGTTACTATGCATTTTCACACGATTCTGTCCGATGGCTTCGCATCGCAAAAGAGGCAATGGTCTGGAGTTGCAATTCTCATCGGCGGATAATCTGGAGCGTGGCATCCTTATGGCTAAGCGTCTGGTGGTTGGGAAGATGCAGATTCGCTGGCATGTGGGTCGCCTGGAGGATGATCCAACTATACAGCCACCACCACCAAGGGGACCGAACCAGACCGGCGGCTTTGGCGTTTTCAGCAAACTTCGCAGGGCTTTTGCCAATTACTTTTCTTAGTTTTTGATCTGTTTCAAGACGTTTTGATCTGTTTTTCCTGTTTAAATTGATAACTTGTTCCTGTAATTTCCTGATTAAAAAATTTATCATATGAGCAAAGATATTAAGTTTATATATTCCCAGAGAGCAATTCCTTGGGGGTTTTTAGTGACACATGCAAAGTGTTCCCCTGATGTGTAAAAGTAATCCCTTTGGTATTATCATAAAAGAAAACCCTTACAATTGCCTTTCAAGGCCCTGATTTCCACCCACATAAACCATTTAATTTAATTTAATTGAATGCCACTAAAAATCAACATAACTTAGCCAACATTCAATATGGAAATTTAAAACCCAGACAACATGTTGCTGATCGCATAAAAGTCTTGCTAACTTAGCAGCCACACCACATCCTCTTTCATTTGGTTTCCACCCCCTGGAAAACGCCCACATGAGGCCAAAAATTTAAATGGAAATTAAAAAAAAAAAAAGATAACAACAAAAACCAGCCATAAATAATATGCTCATATTGCGGAGTCTTCAATTAAAACTCATTAACATAATGGCCTAAAACAGCACTCGACTAACTGCTGCTGAATGTGACAAAAATAAAGCAATAACAGTGGCGTCGACTGCCGATGCCACAAGGGGGTTAGGGGGCGGGGGTTTTGTGTCTGCCTTCAAAGTGAATTTACTTGTCAGTGTCGACGCGTGTAATTTATGCAAATTTTATGCGCACACCACCAAAAAGCAAAGCACCAAAAAGAAAAAAATAAAAAATTTATTTACCAGCGAAACAAAAAAACGCACAAAAAAGACAGCAAAATAAAAACATTAAACGCAAGGCACGCAGAAATGTTTTTCTTTTTTTTTTTTTGCTATATAATTTTTTTGGAGGGCGGAGGGGTGTGTCGTTTTCATTTTAGTTTATGGCGACATAATTAAAATTTATACGACTTACAGCCCGCATTTACAAGGCAACACCCCTTTTTTGTTTGTGGGTCTTTACAGTACAGTGATAACACTGGCCTATGCCATCGATCAGGCTTTAGTTTTGATATCTTATCAAGAATTTTGTAATACCAACTAATCGAATATTGTGCAAGCTAAAGTGGGGATTGGTTAAGGATTACTTAAGGTCTTAAAATGTGTGTCTGTGTTTTTTAAATAACTATAAAACATTGATTTTATATCAAGCGATTTTTATATATATTTTTTTTCTTTACTAATATAATTGCTTTAGCCAATACTCACTGTACTTAAATGTGTGGCAACAAGAATTGTGTCAAATTATGAGCTGAAATTGAGAAATTCTAGGCCTACTCATTATGGTTCTATCTCTTTCCTTAGCTCACCTTTTTTTTGGGGCTCGCCTCTACCCGTCTCGTTCCCACCTGACACTTTTCGCCGTGTGTGGCCACGTCAATTCCTCTCGCTCACTCCCCACCTTCACTTTAGTCTCTCGTTCTCGCATAATTCTTTCAAATCCAAATCCAAAGCCAGACAAAAACAACACTAAATTATGAAGGAGCAGGCCCTAGTCCTGCTGTCTCGCTCCGCAGTTCAAGACACTGAAAAAAATAGGTTGTAAATATTAATAAATTTAACAAAAAATGGTTTTTGCTGAAAGTTAAATCATAGTTATCCTAGCTAATTTTGTCATAGAAACATTATTTGGTTTTGGTTTTTAAATACTTGACGTTTTTTCTCAGTGTCTTGTGTTGGTTCTTCCTCTTCATCTGTTGCTGTTTGTAATTTACCTGCCAGCGAGTTGTTTTGTTTACCTTTGCCGGCATTTCCCTCTTCACCGGCTATCGCTCACCTTTTCCCCTCGTCCTTGTCCTTCATATACCGTACATCTCGTTCTCTCCTCCTTTGCCTTCTCCCTGCTTCTACACTCAAGGAAAACAACGTAATAACAAATAAATAAAGATTGTGAAGGTCATAAAAATATGGTCAGAATTGTAAACCGAAAAAAATGTATAAAAAATATATCCATTTCATTTTTATAAAATTAAAAAAAAAAACTTAAATATTTGTACAAAAAGGTTACCTAAAATCATTATCATCATAGTTTTCTTTCTGTGTAGACCCTTCTTCAGTTGCCCTCCACTTAGCGACCGCTATTAAACGTCATTGTCTCCAAGCCTTCTTCGCCTCTTCTTCAGATTCTTCTGGATATATAGCAGCTATATGCGTGTATTTGTTTATGGTGCGGCTTCGTCTTTGTCATGAAAGGATAATAAAAAACGAAATTATGTTTAAATATGGCCATCCCCCTCGGAATCTCCGCGTCTCGCTCTCTTTTGGGGCATAGGCGTGTTAACATTTTTATTGTCGCCATGTCAGTTCCCATAAATGTGGCACACACACACACACACACACAACACCCGTATAAAGAGTGAGAGATATAGGAACGTCCATAGCCAGCCCTGACCTCACCATCTTCCCACTTCCAAGTCCTCAAGTTGGAGTGTTAACATAAAGTAGTTTCTTAAAACTTGATATTAACTATCTTAGTTAGGGCTATAGGTCTTTTAAGAGTAGTTTCTTTTTATAAAGTTGGAATAGATAAAGGCAATGAGCTAGACTTGGTTTTAAAAATAGTAATAATAATTAATAATAGATTACTAAAACTTCAAAGCGAAGTTCATAATCCCTAATGGCAATGTCTTAATCAAAAATTACAGACCAAAATCCCCCCTGAATGATTATGGTCAACAGGTTGCCATCGATTAATTGACTTCGATTAAAAGGGGCACACTCTAATCGCTGGTCTTTCTTCCGTATTCACTGTCCATATGGCAAACAGTTAGAAATTAATTGGATTGCTTCCATTAACCGGCAAGCGATATTTATCGTTCGGTTTATCGAATTAATCAAGCATCCTCCCTCCCCTTCCTATACATATTCCCCCCTTTTTTTTTTTTGAAGAAACTCTTGATCTTTGCTAGGCCTGCAGCAACAACAATTTGTTTACCAACAATTTATGAGCAGAGCAAGCAAAAGTCAAAAGAGGGAGGCCAAGAAGTACAGTCAAGCTTCAATGGTTTGTACTTTCAGAAGCTTCAAGACTTCCCTTTCTTAATTAAATGTCTTAATGTTACTGATCTGTAAACTTTAGTCATAAACAAAGTTTAATATATTGAAATAGCATTTAAAATGAAACCTAGCGAGTTTTTACTGTAGCGATAAAGGCAATGCCTAAAGCTGCGCATGCGCATTTGCCAGAGACAAATTTCCGAACGCTGATCCAAACGCTTGACCTTGCCATCAATTCTCATAATGGAAATGGCTTGGCAGTCGGGGGAAATGGAAATGAAACCGCGCTGGGCTGCTTTCCCAACAAAAACAACAACGAGAAAATCCAAATACAAAATGCGATAAGCCGCGGGCCAATTTGTGCTACTTGGGTTACGTTGGATGCTGGAAGGGGGGAAGCTCAAAAATGCACTGAGAAAAATGTGTTATGAAATCTCTAAACTCGAAACATAGTTTAGGAGCTACAAAGGTAGAAGGTAGGAAGAAAATACCCCACCAAGGGGGGCGGGCTACTTTTGTTAACCAAAATATCTCATCTTTATTTTTCTCTCTGCAGATGGGCGAAATGTATCGATGGTGGGTTGGTGGTTTGTTTCGATGGTTAGTTGGTTAGCTGGGTAGGCGGTTGAGCGGGCTACCGCAGCAATTTAACGCTCCAGTGGTCACACACACATACACACATTATGGGAAAACCATATGTAGATCAGTGAATGATATACAAAAGCCAGCCAAACATCTGCATCTGTGTTGACCCACAATTAATCAGAGCCTCAGAGCCGCACAGCTGCGGACAACACACGTGAAATTTTGGGCAGAGAGTTATCAGTTAACACTACTAGGCCCATCGGGGCTGCATTTCCTGTATCAATTTCCCATTCGGTTGGCCAAATTAACGAGCCGTGAGCGATGACCCAATCGAATGTAGAACGAGGTTGGTCCCAGCAACAAAATGCGCAGTTTGCTCATTTTCCCAGAGTTCGCTGTGTAGGCCTTACCCTATTTTATGCCCCGACTTAATTTAGCCGCTCATTAAAAAGTATTTTTTATGAACGAAAAAATAAGTTGACAAGCCAAAAAGAAAAAATAAACAAAAAGAGACTGTAATAATAACTATTATTATTCTAATTCGATCAGAAGGGTATTGTAGTGCAGCCTAGTTTTTCTATTGTACTAAAAATGGGTTTAAAGCCCATTGAAATGGTAATTTTAGAGTAAATCTAAGTCATATTATGTGATCTCATTTAGATTGTTTAATTTTTTAGATATTTGATGTTACAAAATTTGGGAAAAAACTTTCTTTTTAAAGTTGAACCGACTTAAAGTGTCATGGGAACTTTATTAATTGAGATATATTCTTGTTAAACTTTTTATGATTCCATGCTAAGTGCCAAGACACGATTCTACCTACCAATTTTCATGACCAACTGAGTATGCTATCTAGAGTTCTTTGATATGATTTCTTTATGGTGGCTATTTCCCAGAGTTTAAAACCTTCCTTCCTCCTGTTTTTTTGGTTAGTTTCCGCACTTATTGGCGGCGCCATCGAAGGCGTCATCAACTTGGCCAGATCCCCACTTTGGTTTTATTTTTCTGGCGATTTAATGGACACATTATGTTCTTGACCCGCAGCGGAAACGCGTGCCTGCCTCCCATTATGGATTTAGATTCAGATTTGGATTTGGTTTTTTGTTTTGTTTTTTTTTGGCTTTGTGCAAATTGAAACATCCGCGGATGTTAGCTAATGGGATCCAATATCTATAACCAAAAGAAAGAACAAAAAAATGATTAACAGCCCAAAAAGTTAGACAAGAACCCTTGAAGGTTTTTTGCTTACGATTTTTGGACATGACTTCATTCGGACAAGATGTCTTTGTGACGTGCGTCATGGCAACAGCAACAGCAACAGCGACACCTTGACATGCCACGCCCACCAACGATAAGCCGCCCAGAAAATGTATGACTTAACCAAATCCCATCAAATTATGCGCATTCGGTGACTGCCCGTCTTGAATTTTAAGCCGACCCCTCCAACACACAAAACGAACTCCCCTCCACATCATCATGAAATGAAAGGAAAACCCGAAAACCGACAAATTTATTGAAGTATGTTTTGTCGGATGTATTTTGTAGTTTGTGAAGTGACAAATCTCTCGGGTTATTGGGTTGGGTTAGGTTACGTAGCGTTGTGTTGAGGGATCCGATGATGGAAGGCCATATATATATACCATAATATATATACAGAAAAACTGCAGAATGGGATAATATGCAGAGGAATGAGTGAGTTTGGGGGGGGCGATGAGCGATGAAAGGGTGTGGCGTTTATAGGACTGACTGGATCGAAATTATACGAAATCGGATGGCTTCAAGTTTTCGAGAATGAAATATGAAGAATGTACAGATTTTAGAAACCAAAATGCTTTAAAATGCAAGTTGTTTTTCCTAAGAAAAAAAGGGAAACAAGAGTCAAGGAAGTATCAAATTGAAGAGTTTTTAACATGAAAACAGAAACAATATTTACTTGGCTAATTGTGAATAGCTTAAGTACCTCTATCTATATATTTGCTTTGATCCCTTGGCCATAATCCCTGACTTCTATATCCCCCCCAGCTACCCACCAACTTGATGGATGACTTTGACATTGAGCCCGTGGTGTGCGAGTGTCACTCGTCATCGCCATCGCCATCGTCGGACTTGTCGACTTAATGCGCAAATTGAATTAGGCAATGGTAATTCAG